CACCCGCTCCCCCCTCCGCCTCCTCAGCTCGGGTTTCGCGCGCACGTGACCCGGCCTCGGCCGCCCGGGAGGCGGTGTCCCCCACCCCCACCGCGCTCCACCCGAGCTACCTCCCGCCGGGTCAGAGGCCTGGGGGTGCCGCCCACCGCGGGCCGGTTTGTGGGATCGAAGCCCCGGTGTCCCTGGTGCAGCAGACCGGCCTGGGTCACCCTGGGCCCCTGACTTAACTTCTCTGAGCTCCTGTTTTTAATTCTATATAAATTAGGTAATGACAGATGTTACCTGCCCACCTGCGAGGGGCATCGGGGTGCAGGTAGGTATGGTGCACGCCTGTCATCCCAGTACTGGGGAGGCTGAGGCAGGAGGATCCCCAGGAGTTCCACCCCAGCCTGGATGACATAGTGAGTTCAAGGCCAGTCTGAATTTCATGGGAAGACCTTGTCTCTCATACACAAAAAACAGGATCCAGGTGCGACATGGGTACAACCCTTGGTGGAGTAAGCACGGTCAGCAGTCACTGTTGGGTTGTGTTATTTCAGAAAGCCTGGTGACACAGACTCCCAGCCGCTAACTAACCGCCTCCAGGTGAATCTCATCTGACACGAGAGGGTCCTGGAGGTGTGACGTAACCCCACACGAGCGTCTCCTACCACGCATCTGGAGGGAGAGAGTGCAAGGGAGCGGTCATGAGCCCTCGAACCTGAGCACCCGCCCGGGAAGCTCCCCAGGGGCCCTGACACGGAGCCATGGAGCCGGGACAAGAAGTGGCAGCACGGCTGGCTGCTGCGCAGTAGCGGTGTCCCCCAGCATACGTGGGAAGTCCCAAGGACGCCAGGCCTCACAGAGACCTCACGGGCAGCCTCTGATGGTTTCACTTCTTAAAACCCAGCACGGGCTGGACAGACCCACACGAGGTGGCTTGCCCAGAGCATGGGAAGCCCTGGGGTGCACCCCCAGGACCACAAAAAAGCCCCCAAAACTTCCAAGTCAAGATCAACTTCCTTAGCTGGGTGTGGTGGTGCACACCTGTAATCCCAGAACTTTGGGAGGCTGAGGCAGGAGGATCATACATTTGAGCTCAGTCTGGGCAGCTTAGCAAATAAGTGAGACCTGGTCTCAAAATAAAAGGTGCGGAGGGCCCGCAGATGACACTCAGCCTGACGGCCCTGGGTTCAATCCACAGCCGGAAGAGAAAAAATAAAGACTCCCTCCTCGGCATGGCGGCCCAAGAGCAGAGGCTCAAACCAAGAGGGCCTGGATTTCTCTGCGAATAAACAGTGTTGCTGACCCACTCTCTGTGCACCCCGGAACCTGTGCACACGCTGCACTGCAGCCTGGGGCGGGGCTCAGGCCTTGCCTCCCTGCTCTCCCACGCCCGCCCCCCGGCCCTGCACCTGGCAGCTGTGTCCCCGCAGCAGAGCAGATGCACGGGCTGGCGTCTGGGCTCCCTGCTCCGCACCTGCTCCTCCTCCCGCAGGTGACAGAAGCCCTGGCAGCCAGAGTCGCTCCTGTCCTGAGCCTCCTGGCCCCTAGCCGGGCGGGGCCTCCCCAGCCTGCTCCCCACCCACTGCATGAGCCCCGTCGGTCCAGAAGGAGCCGAGTTGCTCCCCGCACCACGCCTGCTGCGGCCACGGGGCCTGCCACACGGCGTACCCTGGAGTTGTTGAACAAGTGGAAAGGGGGTGGCGGGAACAGAGCTGAACTTGCAGGCTGGGTCACCAGGGGATGAGCCCTGTCCCAGCAGCTGCGGGGTCCTGGCGTGGGAGGCAGGAGATGCAGAGCTCCTGAACGGTCTTCCCGGATGCCCCACCTCACCGCCATACTGAGCTACATAGCCAGACCCTTCCCTTTTTCATATTTTATTCTGAGACAGAATCTTACTATATTGCCCAGGCAGACCTCAAACTTGCAATCCTCCTGTCTCAGCCTCCTGAGCCGCTGGGATTACAGGTGTGCACGGGGCACCCAGCTGGTGGTTCCTTCCTGCCGAAGGGGGCAGATATGGTTGAGTTTGTGTTTGATGAGCAGCGGAAACACCAGAAAGCAGCTATTAAAGCCATTTAGGAGGCCGATGAGATAGTTCCCATTTAAAATTTTAAAAAGCTGGGTGGGGTGGTGCACACCTGTATTACTATCTCTCAGGAGGCTGAGGCAGGAGGATTGCTGCAAGTTTGAGGCCAGCCTGGATTACACAGTGAGTTCGGGGCCAGGCTGGTAGTGTGGTCACACTGGCCTTGGGGCTGGAGGCTAGCAGCCCCTTTTGGCTGAGGGAACAAGTGCTCCAGCCCAGGCACCAGGAGGGGAGGCGCTCCAGAGCCGCACAGCTGTGCCCCTGTGGCTGTGCGGGTCGTCTCCCCAGCCTGCCCTCCAAGTGCAGGCGCCTGCCCCATCTCGCCGTGTAAGGAGGCGCTTATTCAGCCCACCCAGTGCGCACCACACACTTCTCCTGGAGGTTGTGGAGTGCGCAGCGGCCTGGGCACCGTCCCGCAGCGCCTCACACAGCGACGCGAGACTGACCACCAGCCCGCAGGCCCACCCTCGACACCCACCCAGGACAGCGGTGCCCAGAGCCCGTGACGCACGCAGCCCAGAGCGCAGGCAGCCGGCGACCGTCCACCGGGAGGGGCCTGCACCAGACGCCGCTGGCCGGGTCCGCGCAGGAACGGAGCCCGGAACGGAGCCCGCCCCGCGCCGCCTCGCGCGCCCGCGTGAGCCTGGGAGCCCCGCTGAGGCAGAAGCCGGGCGCAGGAGGCCGTGCATGATGCGCTGGTGGAGAGGCCCGTGGCAGGGACGCAGAGACAGGAAGTGGGTGTCGGGGGTGGGCAGCTAATGGGTCTGGGGCTTCTCGGGTGGTGAAAGCGAGCTGCAATTAGTGGCTTAGTGGCGGGCAGCTCGCGCACGCGCTCAAGTGCGCTGGGCAGCACATTACAAAGGCGGGGTTTACGGCACTTCAGTTACCGCCTATCCGGGTTCATGCGTCACGAGCCGGGGCTGCAGAGTGCATGAGACACGGGCCCGTCTGCACGGAACAGTCCGAGAGGAGCAAGGAGACCAGAGCCACACGCTAGGTGTGCACGGGCGTCACGGAGGAGTCACGAGGCTACGGGCACGCGCGCGGAGCAGGACCACGCTGAATGTGCAGTGTGTCACAGTGAAGGACGCATCGCCGTGAACCCCCTCAGAGGCCTCCACCTTGAACACACTCACCCCGCCGTCCCCCACACTTCCTGCCGCAGCTGCGGGTCCTCCCTCCGGAGTGTCTTCGTACGCCGTCCTGGCTGCTCCACGTCCCCAGCCCATTCAGAACATCGACCTTTCTCGCCCGTTTTGACTTTGGGGAAGAGCTGGGAGTCACGTGGTTTCAGACCCAGCCACTAAGGAGGACGCGGACGCAGTGTGCTTAGCGCTGCCCTTCCGGTGGACGGCCCTCGGCCGCAGCACTCTCTGTACCTTCCATCGCGCCGCGTAAAGACCCTCAGGAAGGAGGACTCCAGAGCTGCTGCAGGAGGAGGCCAGGGCGGTGGGGCGAGTGTGTCCTACGTGAGGAAGAGGCTCTGAGGAAGAGGCTCTGGAGGGGTCCCTGGCAACACAGTAATTGCTTCACTCCTGTAATCACTTTTTCATCTGAACCCTGGCCACCCATATGACAGGGGAGGGGGGCACTTGCTCTGCCACACGGGCGGTGCTGGGCTCAGACCTGCGCCCGCTGCCCCGGGTCCTCTGTGAGCCGAGGGGTGCCTAGTCACTGACCGCTGCCACCTCTCCTTGCTCCCTGCCATTGTCCCTGTGCCCGGGGCATGATCAGAGCCATCTGGCCGCTCCTGCCATCCCTCCAGGAGGGCCCGGCCTCCAGCCAGCAGGAAGGGTGGGGTGCAGGTCCAGCCCCCACGGCCCCGCGAAGATCCAACCCCAGCAGCGCCCTGAGGCTGGGTACCTATGTCACCTCCTGCACACCCACAATCCTCCACGGCCTCTCCTAACCAGCTTCTGCCTGGCCTGGAGCAGCTCCCGGCCGGGGCCTAGCTAACCAAGCCTTCACACCAGGATGCAATGGTCCGCTCTGGCTCCAGAGGCTGGGCACCTGCACCCCGAATCACACCTTCCGGGCCCACATCCCGGCCTGGGAACTCCATCAAACTTTCGATCCTCCTGCCTCAGCCTCCCAGAGCACTGGGATGACAGGCGTGCGCCTGTGGGGCTGGTCCACCTGAACTTCCAGGAGGGCGCCCACCCCACAGCCAGATGAGGGGCACAGGCCTGACCAGCTCCCCAACCCTGCCACCTTCCATGACACTTAGCACAACTGTAAAAGCCTGTGGCTGACACCTGTCTCCCCAGCTAGGTTTCTGATCTTTCTCTTCAACAGCACTTGTCACAAGAGTCTTTCAGCTCAGCCACCTGAGTGCATGTGAAGATCTCCAAACAGCACACTGACTCTCTGAGCTTTGGTCATGGTTTGTTTGGTTTTGGTTTTGTTTTTTTTAGACTGGGTCTCACTATGTAGCCCAGGCTGGGCTTCAACTCACAGCGATCCTCCTGCCTCAGCCTCCCCGGTGCTGGGAGGACAGGCGTGCATCCCCACATGTGGCAAGGGTCTTGAAGCAACATTTTTTATCTTAGCTCCTCTGGGTCTGGAAAGGGCAGAGCTCGGCCGCGTTGCCTGGGCGGGGTCCCTGCAGCAGGTCAGGGTGCGGGGTCTGCCCCAGCTCGGCAGGGCGTGTGCTGGTCCTGCACGCTGTGGACGGAGGGCGCCTGGGCTCCTCACCTCAGCCTCCTCGGGGATCAGCTTGCAACGCTGCTCCTGCAGCAGGAGGGTGACAGCAGCGCGACAGAGACAAAGCTGCAGCCCTGGCTCCTCCCCGCAGCCGGCCTGATCCAGTTCTCCCGATGGGGTGATCACGGGTGCGCGGCTCCTACACTGCCCCGGAGCTCGCTGGGGTGGGGACCCGCCTCTCACTGCGGGCGTCTCCAGGCACCCTGCGCACGGCAGGCCACAATAAGTACCACAAAGCTGGAGCGAGTGTCCTGGGCCGGCCCCTCCTCCCGGGGCGGCGGGGGCGGTGGCCTTGGGTCTGCCTGGAACCCTGGTCTTGGTTTGGTTCCTGCCCGACCTTGGGAAGCTGCAAACTTTTGAGAGCTTCAGTTCTTCGTTTGTGAAATGAGGACGCTCGGTCCTGCCTAGGGGCTGTCCTGAGATTAACTGAGGCCCACCATGGTGGCGCACGCCTGTCATCCCAGCGCTCTGGGAGGCTGAGGCAGGAGGATCGCAAGTTTGAGCCCAGCCCCGGCAATTAAGAAAGACCCTGCCTCAAAATAGAATAAAAATAGAAAAGCTGAGGCCGGAGCTCAGCGCAAAGGCCGTGGGTTCTCTGCCCGGTACCCGGGGGAGGACGGGGACGGGAACAGCGCATCTGAAGCACTCAGCGCGCAACAGCGCTCAGCGCACGCTCCGCGCCTTCCTCCGCGCCTTCCTGCGGCCCCCTGGCCGGGCTGACTTGAACACAAGAGATGGAGCACCGCGGCGCAGACCCGGGCAGATGGCGCCACCTGCTGGCCCAAGGTTGAACTTCGGTGCCCAGGATTGCGCCCTTACCCGGCGTCTCGCAAGGGAGGGTAAGCGCCCTGCTCTTTCAGCGCTGCGCCTGCGCGTCCACATCCCGCCGGGTAACCACACAAAGGGCGGACTTCTGCTCGTTTTTTGTGTCCTTGGGATTTAAACCAAGGTACATCTCTAAGCGTTTAAAAAAATTTTTAAGACAGGGTCTCGTGAAGCTTACCTGGCTGGGCTCAATCCTCCTGCCTCAGCCTCAGAGGGCTGGGATGCCCACTTGCCTCCACTCCATTGCAAGCTGGTTGTTTGGTTGGTTTTCTGAGACAGGGCCTCGCCATGTAGTTCAGCCTGGCCTCGAACTTGCAGCAATCTTCCTGTCTCAGCCTCCTGGGTCTTGGGATGACAGGCGTACGCCCCTCCCCCAGGGAGCTGCCCTGTATTGAGCAGTGGGTGGAGGCACTTTGCTAGGTGCTCTAGTTAACTTCCACGGCCACCTAATGAGGCAGGTACCTTGACTGCACTCACGGATGGGGAAACTGAGGCACGGAGCATCAAACGCCTCACCCAAGATCGCACCGGAAACCTCACCTGGGATGCAAGCCCAAGGCCGGGCTGCAACTGCACTTGTGAGCCCCGGACTCACCATCACAACCACTCTGCAACACCTCCGCCCTCGGGGACACGGGAAAGGTCAGCTACCGGAGGCCCAGGTGTCCCAGAGCCCATCAGGAGGGACCCACAGTCCCGGGAGACCCCTCCCCCTCCTCCTCCCCTGGGCAGCGTGTGCAGGTGTGCCGCCTTGAGCTGCCCAGGCGGCCGCTCCCCCCCTGTGGCCCTGGCCAACAGCCCGGGGGGGTCACCTGGATGCTGGCAAGAGTGGTTCCGGGGGCGCTGACGGGCAGCAGCGCAGCCCAGGCCTCCCGGGCTGCGCACCTCGGAGCGGGCCCTCGCCGTGTGACACAGCACCGTTTAGAGCCGGGCTCCCGTCCACCTGCTGGACTGGGGCAGCAGGGAGTGCACCCGACTCCAGTGCAGAGGAGACCCCACATCCCCTCAGAGTCCTCGCCTCACTCCAAACACGCTCGTCCCGCCACGCGGCCGCTTTCTGCAGCTGCTCTGGAGTCCCCTTTCCCGAGTCTTTTATTTTTTCTTTTGAGGCCGGGTCTCACTGTGTAGTCCAGGATGATCTTGAAATTATTTATGTAGCCCAGGCTGGCCTCGAACTCACGGTGATTCTCCTGCCTCAGCCTCCTGAGTGCTGGGATTACAGGCATGCGCCACCACACCTGGCTCTGAGTGTCTTTACAAGGTTTGACAAGATAAAAAATACGGCAAGGCAGCCCCTAAACACACGACAGTGTCCGCATCCACCTCATTCACCCGATCTGCCACCAAACGACTCCAGCTCTTCCCCGAAGTCAAAGTGACCACGAAAGGCCAACATTTTCAATCGACTCAGAATGCAGAGGCAGCCTGGGCAGCGAAACTGAAGACACTCAGGACAGGCCTCCGGAGCCGCCACAGGGAGCGGCCAGGTCGCCGGGACGGGCGTGTTCACAGTGAACGGGAGGACCTGGAGAGGAGCTAATGGCGCTGCGCCGTGTCTTATACACTGTGTTTAATTTCAGCATTCACTGTATTTTTTAACCCCACACAGAACTTCCCATCCCCTCTAAACTGTGTCTACTGTCTGTGGAAGTGCCCGCCTGCCGCCACTCCACTGCAGGTTGCTTGTGTGGCTGGTTTTCTGAGACAGGGTCTCACCAATCCTCCTGTCTCGGCCTCCTGGGTCTTGGGATGACAGGTGTGCGCCACCACACCAGCTCAAGTTTTCCAAAAATATTTTAGTGCTTCCTATCACCCAATCATTATGCTACACCCAGTGAATATTGTAATGTGCTTTCCTAGCTCATCTAACCCTCACAGCAGCCTGTGACTGTGCCCATTTTACAGATGAGGAAGCTAAGGTGCATAGAGGAGCCACATTCAGGATCACGTAGCAAGCAGCTACCTCAGATGCAAAAGGAGGCTGTTTCACCCATCTGTACTCTCAGTACACTGCACTCCCTCTGCTGGTAGAAACTATCTGATTTTTTTGTTTGTTTGTTTGAGGCAGTGTCTCACTTTGTAGTCCAGGTTGGCCCTGAGCTCACTGTGTTGCCTAGGCTGGCCTCAGACTCACGGCAATCCTCCTGCCTCAGCCTCTCAAGCGCTGGAATTACAGGCACGTGCCACCACGCCAGGCGGTCTCATCTCTTTGCTCTCAAATGCCAAGCGCACTGCTTTGCACACACTAGGCACTGACAGCGCATTTAATATGTACACATATACACACGTCCTCGGCCACACACCAGTGACCAACACCTGCCACACTCGGGACACGACGGCCGCCCTCACGCGGGCCCGGAGCTCTGCTGCACCCTCTTCATCAGCTCCTCGTCCTGCATGGACAGCTCGGTCAGCTTCTTGCCCATGCGCTCGTGGACGTCCAGGTACTTGGAGACGCAGCGGTCCAGGCACACGGACTCGCCCTTGGACAGCTCTGCCTCCTTGTAGTGGGGCGGCACGCACTTCCGGTGGCAGGCGTTGGTCATTCTGGGGGAGGAGGGGCAGGTGGCATCAGCAGCATCCGATGGCATTCCCAGGGCCGCCAGCCGCGCCGGCCCCCCGTACTGTCCTCCGTCCCCAAGTCTGCACCCCAGCTGCCTGGGACAGAGCCATGTTGGGACCCAGCTACCCAAGCAATGGGAAAGAGGCATCGGGCACTGGCTGTGCGCTCAGGACCACGTTACCCATTTCCTAGGTGACCCTGGGCAGCAGGCACAGCCCTCACCCCGCTCTTACAGCTGAGATGAAGATACAGCGAGCCACGGGACTTGCCACGGCCCGCAGAGTCATGTGTGACCTCACGGCCACCCTGGAGCATCGTTCCGCTGTACCGTGTCAAGACAAGCAACCAAGGGCGCTGAGAACAGGTCTGAGCGTCTCGTGCTGGGCTTGTCTGCCCTGAGCATTTCTGTCTGCAGAGGTTGAGGTCTGTCACTACGGCCCTGTTATGGATGAGGAAGCCGGCCCGAGGATACAATGCTGACTGGTAGAGACGCCACTTGCTCCCAAACGTGCCCAATGGTCACCAGGAGCCGTGACTTACGAGCACTGACAGGTCCTGTGCTGCTCCCGCCCTGCCACCAGCCAGCCCTGGAGGCCGAGGCGGTTATTTAACCTCGATTTCCTCATCTTAACATGGAACAAACCCACGGAGTATTGTGAAGATTAAAAAAGGTAACATTATACATGGAATCCAACTCTGAAAAGTGAAATTAAGCGAGAGGTGGGCCCAAGGGGGTACTGGGGAGTGACAATCATCCAACCATGTTAGGTGCTTGTACCACTGTGCCAAAATGAGACCCATCAACCTGTGTACCTAATGTGCACTAATTAAAAAAAAAAAGATGTCCCCAAAATTAAATTATAAGGCCAGGCACAGTGGTGCACACCTGTAATCCCAGCGCTCAGGAGGCTGAGGCAGGAGAATCGCTGAGTTGGAGGCCAGCATGGGCTACACAACAAGATTCTGTCTCAAAAAAAAAAAAAAAAAAAAATAAATTATAAAGATTGCAGGCCGGGTATGACGGTGCACACCTATAATCCCAGCACTTAAGAAGAGGCTGAGGCAGGAGACTGCCACAAGTTCAAAGCCAGTGGGAGCTACACAGTAAGTTCAAGGCCAGCCTGCAAGACATGGTAAGACCTCAAAAAAAAAAAATCCACATTTTACCTACTGCAGAAGCCCTACTGTATTTCACTGTACGAATCTTACACCAGGTAAGTATCATTTCTGTTCTTGATGGGTAAGTGTTTGCAGCTTAGGGCCGTTAAAAATATTACTGTTTAAAAAAAAAATGCATATAAAATCGTTATCAAGTGTGCACCCGTGCGTAAAGGTTAACAAATGTCAGCTACTAAGCGGCTGCGTCGGCCTGCAGTTGGAAAGGAACAGCCCGCCCGGCGCTGCCGTCCCCGCACGCCACCCCCTGGGGGAGGCCGCCCACGGTGCCCCGGCGCGGCGAGCCTGCCCCCCAGACCGCAGCGCCGGGCCGCCGCTCACCTGTTGTACATGTCAGCCATCATCTCCACCTCCAGCTCCGCCGCCAGCTGCTGGGCCCGGAGCGGGTCCATCGGGCCGGCCCGCGGAGACCTGGCTCGGGACAGACAGCGCCGTGAGCACCGGGCCGGAGGACCGCGGGATCGGGCGGCCAGCGCCACGCGCGACGTCACGGGAGGCGGCCGGACATCGCCGAGGGCAGCCTCGGCCGGGCTCGGGAAGCAGCCCGCCCCGACACCGCGCGCCCGGGACGCCGACCACCACTCCGCCCCGCGGACCCCAGAACCCGGCTCAAAGGCTGCACGCCGCAACCGCCCCCCACCACAGGGTCCCCTTGCGGGCCGAAGCCAAGGCTCACTCACCACGGCCTGGCGCGGGTCCCAGTGCCCGGGGCGCCGCCAACTGCACAACAGACTTGCCCGCCGCTCCGGTCAACCACGCCGGAAGCACGTGGTCACTTCCGGAAGGAAGTCCCGCCTCTCCTCTGACCCGGAAGGAAACAGCAACGAGGCGGTGCTGGGAGGTCGGCTACCATAGAGTGCGAGCTGAGAGCCGGTCAAAAGGAAAGCCGATTCTCAAATGCTAGAGAGGACGCCGATATACCATAGAGGTCGGGGTGCGGGGCAGAGCGCCGCAGCCCGTTCAGCGTGGGCTTGGCTGGGTGGCCGCGGAGGCGTTGCAGAGGGACAGGCTTGCTCAGGGGCTCTGCGGCCGAGAGGGGCGACCTCGCCTTCGCCCGAAGGGGGCGCAGAGGGAGCAGAGAGAAAGGACGGCCCCGGACGCGGCTGTTTGTGCTGCGCGTTAGAAGCCTTAGCACGCCTTTACGCGGCTGCGGGCTCAGACCTCAGACCCCTGATTGTTCACGTAATTTGTCAGTTAAACTACCTTTGCAACATGTAAATTTATTTTTATTTTGAGACAGTCCTCGCTATGTGGTCTAGGATGGCCTTGATTTGGATCTTCCTGCTTCAGCCTCTAGCGTGCTGGGATGACAGGCGTGCACCAGCACACCAGACCTGTAAGGTACACATGGATGCTGGGAGAATGCGCTGCCCACTGGCGAAGGCGGCTGCATGTTTCATGTATGCGCGTCGCTATATTTCTGTAATTACCCAAAACAGCCCTGACTTGGGAGGCGGGGTGTGGGCCCCCACCAGGACACACCCCCACCCCCGCTGTGCGAGCTTAAGCATCAGACCTCCTCCTGCCTACAGGACTCTTGTGTGTCCGAGCCTGTGCCCCGATTCTTTTAGGACTGAAGTGCAACGTGCGTACAGTAAAGTGTGTAAAACACGAATCTTGAGCTTATTTTTAGATTTTTGTGGGTGCTGGGGGTCGAACCTAGGGCTTCAATCGTTGGACAACGACCCCAGCTCCGTAAGATGCTTGTACATTTATGAAGCACACCCACGTCAATTTATAAAACACTTGCTGCACTCCAGAAAGCTTTTGCTTGTTCCTTCCCACTTAATACCCCTTCTCGGGACGTTACCGCTCTGACTTCTACCACTAACAGTTACTGTGCTTTTGCCTGCTCTTGAAGTTCATCTGCGTGAAATATGCCTTTGTGTTTTGTGCCTTACTTCTTTAGCTCTAAGTACTG